TTTTTTTGCGCGAAAAAGTATACTTACGGTTTGCGTAAAATCATTCGCAGTGTAGCATCCGGGCTTCGTTGAAAAAGCGTGCTGAGCGACTCGCGGATATAGTCATTGGCCGCATTAATGTCCTCGGTAGTTGGGTATCCACCAGCTGTGCCCTCCTCGTCAACACGGAACCGATATAAGAAACATTTATCCTTAAAAGGTTGCTCCTTATTAACTACCAACATAGGAACACAAAAAAAAATATTACACTTAAATATATATTTATGCACGAGTAGTATGTAGAGAAAATTTTTTAAGAAGTTTTAATTAAAGTACACTGAGAAAAGAGTTTAGTTACGTCAACTAAATATGTTTTTATCAACACATGATTTGGTTATAGTTACATTATTTGTTTATAGTTACCAAATCATGTGTTGAGAGGAATATATTTGGCTGGCTTTTTTCTGAGTGTAACTCACCATGCGATAGCACTCCTTCTTCGAGCAGCGCTTGCCACATACCAGCTGCCTGGGCGCGGGTGTGAACGATGGATGATAAATTCACCAGCCAGTCCACTAATTCGGTGCCAGGTGCACATTTCCGTATTAATTTTCCAGCAACCTGGACAGAGAATTAAATACACATACATATGTATGAGCATGTGAATAGGTATGCATAGCTTTACTATGCATTGCATTAGTATACATACATACATGCATATGTACATATTTATTGATAGTTTCTATCATACATTTGTATATATTGTAAATTTTTTTTTTACAATCTATCTTCTATTCTATCTATATACATATATAAAAACCAAACCAAACGGCTGAACCGATTTAAATTCTGTAAAAAGTACTTTTTTGGACCTTCTGTGTGGAAGGTTTTTCGATTAAAAAAATTCAAAACTTTTTTTTGTTGTTGCCGAATAAATGAAGAATGCTGAGACGTCACGATTTCACAATTTCTCAGTTTTCTGTACATTAAATGTCACTAAACTACTGAACGGCTAGCCCGATTTGATTCATATTTGAAAATAATTAATTTCTACCAAAAATTTTCTCGCTGCTGCATTTACTTACCGATTTGGCTCATATTTAGAATATAATTTCGCCAATTGATAAGAAATATTTGGACTTACAACTTACACGATAGGTAAGAGATATTCCCAAAAATTATTTTACCCTAAGAGAAGGATAGATATCTAAATACTATATATTTGTGGAATTACATATGTATGTATGTATGTATGTAAATATGTGCCAGGTTGCAGCCTAAACGGATGGACAGAATAGCACGAAATTTTTACAGAGTATTGCCATAACACCTGGGCAAAATTGGAGAAACACAGAAAGCAACTTCTAGCCCAATAGCAAAACAGACATTTCAAATACATTCGTATGTATATATGTATGTGTACATTTGTACATTGCCATCCTTCAATTATACGTTCTATATATATATATATATATATATATATA